GTGGTCACTGCGCTGCAAAGAGAGAGAAAGGACAGCAACACACACCGAGCTCTTCTGGGGAAAAAAAGGCCAATTTATTGTACAGACATCCCGTATTTAAAGTGCAGCCAGGACAGGACAGGAGTTCATTGGACAACTGGGACAAACATCCCCTGGGACAGCATGTCCGGATGTCCCGTGGGAAAGACACCAGGTGTTAATCTTTATTATGAATTCCTTTCTGTTTTTCACCAAGTTATCACTCTGGGAGACTGCCTTGTAGGAATCTTTGCTTTGGGACGGTCGGGACAAACTCAGGCGCTCCTTTTATTCTGGTCTTAAAGTTTGCAGTTTATTTTGTAGGGTGTGGGTTTATATAAGGCCACAGCTCAGAGCAGGGCGGAGAGAGGGATAAAATGAGAGTAAGAAAAAGGAACTTAAAGAAAGTAAGAACAAAGAGAGTAAGAGCATAAGAGAGAGATTTTCCCGTTTACAATACATGAAATCTTCTTCTATGTTGAATATTCTAATTTTCACTAACCAATCTAATACAAGATACAAATTCTCTAACATTTGCATGCAACCTATAGGAATCACTATATTACCATGTTTTACTGCTTTTCTCATCTCTAAATTTTATCTGGGACCCTTCCTGCCATGCCTAGGGAGGATGTCTGTTTGCTCTTTGGTATTTGCAGCATCTAACTTTATCTAAGCAAAGGGGCCTTCAGGCTTTCAGTTGCTTTCAGCCACACAGTCAAAAATTGCTGCCATTTCTATTTCGCTTAGATTTTCCATATCCTCAAAGTCTTTTGCTGGGCACTCGTATTTATAAGGTTTCCCTAATTCATCCTTCCCAACACTGCCTCCCTTAACTGAAGCTGCAGTCAGCTTAGCCTGGGAATGGAGCTGAGAGACAGGAGAAACCCAGGCCTGAAAGGAATTGCCAAGCTGCAATTTCCAAGCTCTCTAAATGTGTGTGTCCACAGGTGGGCAGTCACCAGGTGTGTGCAGTGGAAGGGGGGCAGTGTCAGATTCTGCCCCTGGGATGGGGCACCCCTGCCTTGGTGTGTGGACTGGGAAGGAGAGGCTGGAGAGCAGCTGCAGGGAGGGACCTGCGGGTCCTGGCCAAGGGCAAGTTGAACACGGGTCAGCAGTGTCCTGGCAGTCCAAAGTGCCCCCGTGTCGTGGGGCAGCGGGCCCAGCAGCAGCTGGGCCAGGGAGGGGATTGTCACACTGTGCTCTGCACTGGGGTGGCCTCACCCTGAGTGGCAGCACAACACAGAAAAGACATAAAGCCATGGCACAGCGACCAGAGCAGCTCACGAGGATGGGGAAGGGTCTGGAAGGACTCAGGAACAGCTGAGGACACCTGGTTTGTTCAGCTGGAGAGGAGGAGACTCAGGTCAGACCTCACTGAGCTCTTCAACATCTTCCCGAGGGCCAGTGCAGGGGCCAGTACCAAAATCTCTTCACTCTCATGAGCAGGGACAGGACTCGAGGAAACGGCTGGAGCTGAGGCAGGGGAGGCTTAGGTTGGATATCAGGAAAAAGTTTTTCACCTAGAGGGGCCTTGAGCACTGGAACAGCGTTCCCAGGGAAGTGTTCCCAGCCCCAAATCTGTCTTGGGACAGGAAGCATTTGGACAGTGCTCTCAGGAATTGTTGTGGTGTCTTGTGCAGGGACGGGAGTTGGACTCAATGATCCTGATGGGGCCCTTCCAACTCGGCACATTCTGAGCTTCTCTGAAATTACTTCAGCATCCAGCACACGGATTTCACTCCAGAATAAAGCTGTTCCTGCCTGGTGAACTCGGACATTCCACTCCTCCTAAGTACAGTGTTGGGAAGGATGAATTAGGAAAACTTTATAAATACGAGTGCCCAGCAAAAGGCTTTGAGAATATGGAAAATATAAGCGAAATAGAAATGGCAGCAATTTTTGACTGTGTGGCTGAAAGCACTGAATGCCTGAAGGCCCCTTTGTTTAGATAATGTTAGATGCTGCAAATACCAAAGAGCAAACAGACATCCTCCCTAGGCATGGCAGGGAAGGTCCCAGATAAAATTTAGAGATAAGAAAAGCAGTAAAACATGGTAATACAGTGATTCCTATGGGTTGCATGCAAACGTTAGAGAATTTGTATCTTGTATTAGATCGGTTACTGGAAATGAGAATATTCAACATAGAAGAAGATTTCATGTATTGTAAACGGGAAAATCTCTTTCTTATGCTTTTACTCTCTTTGTTCTTGCTTTCTTAAGCTTTTTTCTCTTACTCTCATTTTATCCCTCTCTCCGTCCTGCTCTGAGCTGTGGCTGCAGTTCCCAGCAGGGCCTTATATAAACCCACACCCTACAAAATAAACTGCAAACATTAAGACCAGAATAAAGAGAGCTCCTGAGTTTGCCCCGACCATCCCAAGGCAGCGATTCCTGCAGTACAGCACCTACAATATTCCTCAACTTCTTCGGACGAACGGAACAAACAAATTGCATTTAAGTGTCACGGTAACAATTCCGTGCCCTTCCTTGCTGGCTGCTCGTAAGGGAGGCGATTTACAGGGCAGCTCAGCAGGGGCTGTGGTGTGGCCCGGCCATGGGAGGGGACACAACAGGGTGTGGGTGGCCTGGCCATGCCACCAGGGGTGCCAGAACTGGGGACAGGTGGCCATGGAGGTGCCACCACGGGCGTGGTGACAGCAGGGCACACATGGCTATGGAGCTGCCACCAGGGGTGTGGTGACACCAAGGGACAGGTGGCCTTGGAGGTGCCACCACAGGTGCCAGGATGCTCACGGAGGTGCCACCAGGAGCATGGCAGTGCCAGGGGACACGTGTCCATGGGGTGGCAATGCCTGCGGGCCTGGCAGTGTGACAGTGACAGGGGTGGGGACAGGCAGGGGTGGCTCCGTGCCTGCCCCGTGGGTGGCCCCGCCGGTGCCGACCCGATTCGGCCGGGTCCCGGTGCCACCATCAGTGCCACCTTGGCATGGGGACACATGGGGTCGTGGGAGTGACAGGGGGAACCGGGCAGGGCACTGTGCCAGGCCAGCACGTCCCCACCCCACACTCCAGAATTCATCACCCCCCCCAACCATCATCATCATCATCATCATTATCCCCTCAAACCATGACCACTAACCCATCTCCATCACCCCTCACCCGTAATTTTCACCCCAAAATTCATCACCCCAAAATTCCCCACACTCTCCCACTCCCGTACCCCCCTCACCTGCCCCATCCTGCCCCCCCAGCTCTGCCCTGGCGCCGCTGTCACCGTGTCCCCTCCTCCAGCGCAGGTACCGCTGCAGGGGTGGCCTCGTCCCCTCGTGTCCCCGTGTGTCCCCGCGTGTCCCCGTGTGTCCCCTCGTGTCCCCGTGTGTCCCCTCGTGTCCCCGCGGCTCCTTGGGCACAAAACGCCCTCTGGAACAGCGACACTCTGGCCTTGGGGACAGCCGTGTGGCCAGCCCGGTGTCCCTTGGTGTCGGGGTGCCTGTGGGGGCGTTTCCAGCCGCGCCCAGCGCCGGCTCCCCGGGGACCCCCCGCCCCTTTCGGGGTCCCCTCCGGGGGTGGTGGCGGTCTTGTAGGTCTTCAGTAGGGCAGGGGGCTCGGGGGTGTCCGGGGGGGCTTCCACCTCCATGTGTGGTGGGGGGAGAGGCAGTTTTGGGGGGTTCCGGGGCTGCATTTGGATGGGGGGAGTCACTCTGGCGAGTCCAGGGTTGGATTTGGGGGTGGTGGGATGGGGAGAGGAATTTTGGGGGGCTGAAATTAGGAGTAATAGGACGGGGAGAATAATTTGGGGGTGGTGATGTCAGGCACCCCAAACTTTGAAGGGTGCCAAGTCCCCTGACCACCCAGGGGTCCCAATTTTTTGGGTTCTCCTGCCCACTCAGTGGGTGCCCATGCCAGCCGACTGCTGTCCCCACCCCTGCCGGGGACGGGGTGACAGGGGGACAGGGTGACAGGTGTCCTTCCACCCTGTTCAGGTGGGACCAGAGGCATTTCTGTCACACCCTGACCGCACTTCCCCTCCCCTCCCTTGCTCCCCCCGCACCCTGGGGACAGCCCTGACCCTTCCTTTGTCACCCTGGGGTGCCCCTCAGTCGAGGGGGGGCTTGGTGCCACCGCAGGACCCCCTCTCTGTGCAATGCTCGAGGTGGCACCTGTGCTTTTTGTCACTGCCACCCACCATTCTGTCATCAGCGCCCCAAAGCGGGGGGTGGCACACATCCTACAGGAGGGGGGGGGTGGTGACAGCATTTTTGGGGTCATCTCCAGCGACTTCCATCCCCCGGTATCCCCCCGAGGAGGCTGCACGACCCCACAACCCCCACACTGCCCCCACCGCAGCATCCCCCGAGGGGACCTTCGGGATTGTCCCCGTGCTGGGCTTGGGGCTGGGTGCTCGTTTTGGAATCTCCAGGGTGGGTGCTGAAGTCCTCTACCATCACCACAAAGTCACTGCCCCAGCCCGTGCCTCAGTTTCCCCCTCGCTCTGCAGGGACCACCCGGAGCTGATGTTCTGGAATTGGGTTTATTTTGGGGGGTTTTGGGGTTGGGGGTACTGGGATGGGCTGGTGTGGCCAGAGTGTGGCCAGGCTGGTGGTCATCTGGGCTGGGGGGCTGCAGAGCCAGGGGCTGCCCAGACCAGCTGGGATCCATGGCTCTGGTGTCCATCTGGACCAGAGTCCAACCTCTCCTGCTCCTGCCCATCCCAGGCTCCCTGGCCAGGGCTGCTCCTCACTGCAGAGAGGACAAGACCCACAGTCAGCCCCAAGACGACCCCAAATCCCTTCCCACCAGGAACTGCGTTGGGAATGGCCAAGATGAAGGTGCTGGTGGCACTGGTGGCACTGATGCTGTCCCAGTTCATGTCCCCATCCATGTCCCCCCATGTCACTCTCCAAGTCTGTGTCCCCCCATGTCCACATCCATGTTCCCCACGTTCCTACTCATGTCCATGTCCCACCCCATGACACTGTCCAGCACATGTCCTGATCCATGTCTTAGTTCAATGACTTTACCCCAGTTCTGGGTGTTTTGGAAGGACAAAGAGGAATACAATGAAAATCCAGGCCACGGGGAGCCAGGAGGATGTGGAGCCCCCAGCCAGGTGTGTTCCCAACACGGATCAGCAGCACCAGGGGTCATTGGGGCTCTGCCCAGCGGGGGTCACTGGGGATCATCCAGCGTGGATCCTGCCATGGGGGATGGAGCTGGAGCAGAGCACGAAGCTCTTCCCACACTCGGGGCACTGGTAAGGCTTCCATTAGTGGAGACCCTGTTGGTGTTTGATCAGGTTACAGCGCTGTGAGAAGCTCTTCCCACACTCCTCACACTCGTGGGGCCTCTCCCCAGTGTGGATGAGCCGGTGCCTGACGAGGGTGCAGTTCTGCTTGAAGCCCTTCCCGCACTCGGGGCAGCAGAAGGGCCTCTCCTCTGTGTGGATGCGATAGTGCTTGAGGAGATCAGAGCTGCTCTGAAAGCTCTTTTGGCATTTATCACACTCGTAGGGCCTCTCCCCGCTGTGGATGAGCCGGTGCCTGACGAGAATGCAGTTGCGCTTGAAGCCCTTCCCGCACTCGGGGCAGCGGAAGGGCCTCTCATCCGTGTGAATCCTCTGGTGCAGGAGGAGACTGGAGCTGGTCTGAAACCTCTTTTGGCATTTATCACACTCATAGGGCCTCTCCCCCGTGTGGCTCCTTTGGTGGACAATTAATTCCGAGCTTATCCTGAAGCTCTTCCCGCACTCCCCACACTCGTAGGGCCGTTCTCCCGTGTGGCTCCTCAGGTGGGCAATCAGGTGAGGCTTCTGCTTGAAGCTCTTCCCACACTCCCCACATCCGTAGCACCTCTCCCCGGTGTGGACCCTCTGGTGGCGGATAAGGTTGCAGCTCTGGCTGAATCTCTTCCCACACTCCCCACACTCGTAGGGCCGTTCCCCCGTGTGGATTCTCCAGTGGCAGGTCAGGCTGGATCTCTGGCTGAAGCT